AATAAGAAAGCTTGGAGGCACGGCATATACACCTTGATGTAAAATAAAATAAATAAAATGCACAAAGTTTAAATGAAGTAATCAGCAAACATGGTGGAACCAAATAAATAAGAACCGAATGTTAAGAAAGCTTCCAAAATCATCTTAGAAAAACAGCAAAGGTCAAAAGGCCTTCCAAAGTCTAACATATTTTTAAGATCATACTTTATGATGTTAGTTTTAATAAATACAATTTTTTTTTTAAATCAAGGAAATTTCTCTGGTATTTCTTTGTTTTTACTGTATCGAAAACGTACCGAATTTTGTGAACTATAAATATATATCATAGGTCGCGTTAGACTTTTTCATTGTCCGTCATTTTGACGGACAGGGTCGTAAAAAATCCGTCATAATCTTTTATTACCCATCATTTTAATTTTCATATTTTCTAATAGCTTTTGTATTCATTCACATATTAATCAACTTACAAGACGAGCACATAGGCTAAATTATTCATTTATTTATAAATGAACAGAGCAAATGAACAAAAACTGCATAAAATTTAATGTTCAACAATTTACCTGCAGAATCACACTCGCAGCCGCTGGAGTCCACGATGGTTTCCTTTATTGATCCTTAATTAACTGTATTTTCAATAAATATTTTTCAGTTACTAGTCAAAGTACTAACACACGTCACGGCCGACACCTTTCAGTAAACACACTCTCACCTTGGCTAAATTATTCATTTATTTATAAATGAACAGAGCAAATGAACAAAAACTGCATAAAATTTAATGTTCAACAATTTCATGTTTTTTTTTTTAGCACTGACAGTGGGGGGAATTAAAACACGACCATTTGTGCCTGATCAGATATAAACAGTGCAATATATTACAAAATATAATTCCGACTACAATAAGAACATAACTTAGAAATGATCCTCCTGCTGCGCATCGACTTGAACTGGGAGCTCGCCTGTGCGTAATCAAACGCATCAATGGAAACTGATGCAGAGGCAATTGTCATTCAATTCTGCGTCAACAGCCAAGACATCAGACAACAGGTGAGTTAGGGCAGGGAATGTGTATGTTTGAATGCACTTTCTAATACCCTTAGCTATCGGGCAGTTTCTTGAGTTTTCCTCATCCTCCAACTCCAATACTAGAGAAACCCAGTTGGCACGTATGCCCTTAACAGCCCTCTCCAATGACTGAATGGTTGTTTTACACAACATTAAGCGGTGTCTTTAATGCCTCGTTACAGGCAGCCTGTGATTTTTTGACATGCTTGACCATTGCCACGCTCTGGTTGACCACCTGTGAAGCTTCAATGTGGCTATGGCTACTTTTATGATCATTCAGTGCTGATTTCTGCATCGTTGTGCACCCTCGGACAAATCCGTTACTCGTGTTAGCTTTTCTACAGATGTCGCAGAACATTTTATTAACAATATCGCAACTCTTTGGCCGTTTGATGAAACTTCTCACACTCAACTGCCGTGACATTTTTGCAACTGTATGCAGCGGTGACAAAGATGAGACAATACAAGATAATTGCTAATTAATAAGGGCAATCACCATCAACTGGACGGGAGTGGGAATTACAGTTACAAATTACAATAGATCACCCTCAGCGTAATCTGTCAAAATGACGGATGGCCTTCCGATTTCAATGACTGTACGACATTCACATTACATATTTTAACTGATTTTTACGTAGAAAGGGCGACAGCGCACCGCATTAAAAGAAATGATCATTCATGTTTTAATAACCGCTGGCCAAATTCAAAAACGAAACTAAAATTAAAATCATCTTTGAGAGCAAGGGGGCCCCCCTGGTGTTTCAGGGGCCCTACGCAGCTTGCGTATTTTGCGTATAGGGAGGATCGGCACTGGCTGGTGTGATCTTGGTCCACTCTTCTTATACTCTCCATAGTTTGGTGACTGTAGTGGGTTTCTTAGATCAGGAGTCTGGATTCATTATTATCCAGTCAATTTCATTATTTCAATGTTTTCAGCTTCAAGGAACTGTGACGGGGAGCATTGTCTTGCATGAAAATTGCAGGCTGCCTACAAATATACCCCAGCGACTTAAGACTGCTTTTGTGCTGCAGGGTCACCTTTGCATTCACTCTGCCATGTATCTGTATAAGAGACCCAACTCCTGCTGCAGAAACCATCCCCCAAACCATGACACTTCCTCCTCCACCTTTCACTGATTCTTTACTCAATCGGGGTTCAGTCTTTCCCCAGGTTTAATGCCAAACATAATGTTTCCCATCAGACCCAAATAAATTAAATTTGCTCTCATCACTAAAGTAAACTTTGGACCAGTTCTCCTCTCTCCACACAACAAGCTCCTCAGCAAATGTGAGTCTAGCCGTTTGATTCTTTCTGCTGATGGCGAGCAATTCCAGCTGCAGTGCTGAACCGATTCCCCATCGAGAGTCTCTGCATTATCCTGTCCTCTCGTGCATTTGTCTTACACGGACGACCAGTCTTTTTGTGGGACTTGAATGAATTAGTGTCATTGTAAACCTGCAATATTCTACAAATCACAGATTTGGAATGATCAACTTCTCTTGCAGTGTTTGAAAAGCTGATCCCTTTAGCCTTCATCTGGACAACCAGCTATCGCAGCGTTTCAGTCACTTTAGAGCAGCAGTGAAAACTGGAGAAATGCTGCCAGTTAAACGAAGTAAGTCATGACGAAAACAAATATTATGTGACAAAGTAATCAGTATGAAACCAACGCGATGTCAAGTCTTGGCCGTCGCCCTCATTATCGCTAATGTGACCACGCCCACGCGCCGATCGCGCTTTTGT